GAGCTCTTTTTGGCGTCTCTAGAACCACGGCATTATCGAGAAAATTTTATATAACTTTAAAAAATCACGGGATTATCGAGAAAATTTTATTTTTCTTTACCAACACTTAGTAGTTCCTATAGTTCTTTTAATTACCTAATATGCTTGATGCAGTTCATAATTATTTCTAAATCTTCCTAAATGCATTCACTGCCTGATGCAGTTCATTATTATTTCCAAATCTTCCTAAATGCATTCACATTGATCATCAATCTGATACAAAGTTATGAAAATTGCATGGCCTGTGGCGACTACTGTATATTCTCCCCACCCAACTGTCTTACGGAATTTTGGTTAAACGTTTAGCTCTTGGTTAACGAGTGTAAGTTTATATTATGTTTTGTTGGAAGTGATGAAAAAATAAAAAAAATTAGGCAGAAACTTCTTTGGAAGTGGTCTTGGATAAAAGAAGCCGTAGGTTTTTGTCATACGGTAACCGTGAGAATGGGGTTTTTATGGGTGGGGGAAACGGATGGACAAAAAAAGGGTTTCGTAAAAATAAGTAGAAAAGTCTTAAAATTTTGTTGAAAAATTTATTGCGGTGCCTAGATGTCGACGACGTTTGGCGCGCATTGCTGTCGACAAACCTGGAAATGTGGAGGCTTATTCCGAAAACTTCCCACCCTGAACCTAACCCTAACACTAAACCTTACCCTAACCCTAATCCCTACCCTATCCCTAGCCCCAACCCTTACAGAAAGTCATTGAGTAGGCATTTAGATATAAATAAGAACATTGCACGCTACCAAGGAAACTCTTGCCTAAAATTAAAGAAATTTCAATTTGTCTCAATGTACTACATGGAATCCAATCCATCAACAGAAGCCCCTGTTGCTCAGGCTACTGATATCTATTGAAGGAAATTTAACACTAATGTTGGCGAAATTTAAGTAGAAAGTGGAAAGTCTGGTTGATAAAAGTTTAAAATTAGGTTATTATTATAACTTAAACGCAAAGAGGACCTCTAAAGACAGTCCTGCCCTTGATTTATTATTATAAGACGGTTTTCTGACTACAGTGCTGTGTGCGAAACATCCTCAAACGATTAAAGTCACCCTTTTTTATACTCAGTATGACGCTCAATTTCCAATAACCACACTTAAATGTTTATTTTCGAAGTTCGGCCTTGGGTTTTGTGCTGCAAACATGAAATGAACAGAGCCCAAAACCCGACAGCATACAATGTCAGCTTGTCCACTTGGGAGTTTACAACCGTCTCCGGCCAGCCCTAGAAGCCCAGAGGCTCCAACCGGAGTGCGGAGAACTTGAGTTAGGCGCTTAATCATGGAATTAGATGCTTGCCTGGTAGTTGGGGCGGTTCAAATAATATTCATATTGTCTAGATTTACACGTGGCCTGACGTAATATTTTCAACTTGTGCTCCTAATTTCGAATGGCTGCGGAGAAAAGTGGAAGACCGGTCGACCACCGATGCAAATCGTCTATTGTTCTGAGCTTTCGAACGCATGTCGCCAGAGGTAGCAGCAGCAGCAGGAAAAATGGCGAAAAACAGGCACTTATCAGTGAGGCAAGTTTGGAGGTGACTACGCAATACTCGTACGGTCGGCTCGTCTTGTTTCCGGCATGGACGATTATCCTGACTTCTGTGAAGTTAAACGCAAAGCCTGTTTCATAGATGTGGGTAGCAATGTAACAGCACTCGTTACCCCGTCACACAGCCAGCTCATCCTCATACATGCGTGATCCAAGCATTCGCTGTACGCATACAAATACTATTTATGCGTGGAATGCGATAAATGTTCGCAGGCTGTTTTTAGGGATTTATTTGATATTTGATGTTCATCCATTTGCTGTGCATCGAAACTGTGGGTTGGTGTGCAATTCCCAAACCCGGTCCCACAGTGATGCGATGAGTCACTCCTGAAACATCCCTGATGTATGACAGGGCGTGCCGTATCCTCGGCAGTGTTTTAGTTTCCTTCCTTCGAGGTCAAACACGTCGAATAGCCATGCCGTATACGTCGGACGCTGAGATATCCAGCCTCACCTAGCCCGCAATGAGTCTGAATCCGTATGAAGAGCGTACACGCACACAGCTTCCTTTATTAGCGACCGGATAGTTGCTATGAGGAGCAGAAGTTATGTTGTGTTGGGCGCCTTCCAGTAAACTATCGTCTCAATTTTCGCTGTTTAAATTTCACTTGACGATAGCGTCAAGGTTAGGCAGCTGCTGCTCTTGTTCTTCTTCCCTATTATGAATTTAAGGTCAGAAAAGATTTAATTGAGGAAGTCATGTAAGTTTTCTGGCATGTTTGTTTTTCTCTTGTTCTCGGTTTTAACTGAAACTATAAAACTCTCAACTCTACCCGCCCTGACATTTAGGACATATCCATCTGTAATAAAGGCTACCTATTCTTGGCCTGACAAGGAAAGGTATTCCCAGCCGAGAGCCGTGAGGTGAATAACACTTGTAATAGGTTAGCCACCCCATTAACTGAATCTTCTGTAATCCTATAATTTCATTATAGTGATTTAAATACAGAAGTCAGTTTTCCAAACCAATCAATTTGCTCATTTTGGCCACACTAACTAGCAAATATCTGAAAGAGGTACAATAGCGGTCACCTTTGCTGTTGCCAGCAGTCGCTGGCCCAGGAACTTGAGGTAGCTTGGTCGGAAATTAAAAGATCAACCGAGAAGGCTTCCTTCGGCTCCAAACGATACCGGGAATTCACAACGTACGCAAGAATAGCGTTGTTTAGGCTCCTAACTTCACCTTTTCGCAGCTATACCGGAAGGTGTTACCTGACTACTGCGACTAATATAACCTGCAACAAATAGATGAGAAGCTGCACACGGCGGTGGTCTGAACTCTACCCACCCTGAAAGCCATGACATGTCCATCTGTAATAAAGGGATCCATATTCTTGATCAAACAAGAAACAGTATCATGAGCCAAGAACCATGAAATGAATCAGCTTTTTGACAGGTTAATCACACGATCTGTTAAAGTTTCTGGAATCCGTTAATGTTACGATAGTGGCCTAAGTATAGCAGTAATATTTCTAAAACAATTAGTTCCCTCATATTCGCCACAAAACTTGACAACTATCTGGTGGATTCAGATTCCTACTTGGAAACATTGTTTTTTTGGCAATTGATCAATAGCATATGTTGCTGGCGGAAAGTTGAAACGATGAATGTACTACGGCCGCCAGGTTTTCTCGCAAAACTAAGTTAGGGATGGAAGACGCATTTTGGAAATGCACGCAGGAGGTTCACAACCTACTGTTAAGGCTGATGGCTCCCGCAACCTGATATCGTTTGTTCCTGCTGTTGCCAGCAGCCCTTCATCCAGGGACTTGGGGTAGCTTAGTCGGACATAATAAATTAAGCGGAAAGGCTTCTGTGGGCTTCACACCATGTCCGGAATGAATACAGTGGGAGATAATTGCACTGTTTATGCTCCTGAATTCACTTTCGCTCAGCCATTCTGGGAGGTCCTCCCGTATATTTTGGATAAGCACCGACACGTGCGACTTATATAACCTGTTCCAAAGGAACAAGTAAATGAGAAGCTGTACATAGCAGTGGTCTGGGACTGAAAACCTTTCCTTTCCTTTCCCGGATTTGTTAAAATTAATACCCATCGTTGAGACTGATACCCGTGCCTTTGTGATTTACAGGGTCCTGCCGAAATTCCCAAGGATCCTGGGTTAGCGACTGCCATCATCAACAGAGGCGATCGCTATCAGGGTAAAATTGATTCGTTTAATTATTTTGAAGAGCTTAGAAAAAAAGGGCTACTAGAGGGGGCGGGACCGATAGATGGCACTCCCAGCTGCATGGTAAGTCTACCCTGTCTCAGAGCACGCGTGCTTGAATTGAACAACCTTATCGGATCATGCGATACAGATAAAGAGCCCAAAAAACTAGAAAAGATCAGTTTTCAAAGAGAAATATGAGATACTCTTATTTGTGATACGAACTTACATATGAGAACGAGCAGCAGATCCACGGTGATAAGGATCGCCCCACCATACAGAAGGTACTGGAAACCACGTTTAAAATCCGCAAACATGCTATCCGCCTGCTGGGTGGAATTGGGCGTACCATAGGATTCCAGCGAGGGCACAATCAGGGGCGGAATACCGAAACCCAGCGCCACGCCAACCTACGAGAAGAAAAAAGACGGAGGCGGCGTCAGGGGGTGCGAGAAGAGTAAAAATAATAGAACGAGATTTATCGCAGACATCACGTTCTCCTATTTTCGTGCCACGTTGCAGCACTGGGAGGTCAAACTCGAAAATAGCAGACCGCTTGCGCGTGCCACGCACTGGCCACGGGGCCGACGCACTTTAAAACAGCGCAGGAAAGATCCTTGGAAAACGTTGCGCACGCCAGTAGTATTTGGCTGTCCTTGAGAGCGTCCCGATGACTTTGAGAGACTAATATGTTATGGGGAACCCTCAATGAATACGCATGTGTTTTATTTTTGTGGGCTTGAAAGGCTCTTAAAGAGACAATATAATTGAGAAGAAGACAACTCGGTCGCTGGGACTATACGTTTATTTTCCTGACGTTTCGACATTCATCGCGGATTCAGCATCAGAGACATGGGCAGGTTTTTATTGATAAGGTAGCTGCATCACCTACAAAACTAGCATATAAAATCGATGACTATTTGACAGTAACGGTACGTATTAACCTTATAGAAAAGAGCTTGAAGCGCGAGTTCATGCGCAGGATTGCAAACGGACGTTTCGTTTGCCTTGTGATCTGCTTCATACTCTTACCAGACGACATCACTGAAATGTACATTTCTATCATATTAGTCGTCGTTCGCCGGCCAGTCCCAGCATAAGCACGGGGTAGTAATATCCGTAGGTCTAAACTAGTCATAAGTACCCGCAACAGCGCTCTGTACACAGATGGAAACGAATAT